AACCCCCTTCCCCTCCCCCTTTTCTGATGAAGGGTCTAGGCCCGAAACGTCAGCCTCTCTGCTCCTATGATGCTGCTTGGCCTGCTGTGTTCATCCAGCCCTGCACCTTGTTGTCTCAGATTCTCCAGCATCTGCAGTTCCTACTATCTCTGACTTGTTTCTGATACTGAGTATATACAGTCTGAACTAGCAATTTTACCTTACTTTTTAAATTCAAACTTCTATATGACCAGTGGGACATGGAACATGCAAACAAGGGGAACAAGAGTAGGTCACTTGGCCCTTTGAGTCTGTTCTGCCATTCAATAAAACACGGCTGATCTGCTTTTAACCTCAACTTGACTTCCTGCATATCCCCGATGATCTTTCAAAGATCAGAAAGGAATCAATTCACCATCCTGTCTTGGCCATAACATTAGAAACAGCATGGGACTGTGGATTTAGCTCAAGGGCATACTGCAGTTGATTCACTGGGCACAGAAAGAGAAACCATTTAAGGGGTTTCTATGGCTGTGCTGGGAAAAATAGCAGAACCTGAACAATTACTGAGTCAGAAATGCTCGAACTCTCACAATATATCATTGATAACTTGGGTAGTGGCCACCATTCCTGGGCCTGATGAGGAAACAAGACAATGGTCGAAACGACCGATGTTCAGAGCAGTATTTTAAGGAGAAGGGGTAGATTCAGAACCAGTGGGCATGGGGTTAGTTTGACAATGTTGACTGAAGTCAAAGAAGAGCAATTGTCAGCAATCTGCAGAGGAAGACTGAAGAAACAAAAAAAGGGCTTTATTGTGAAGGAAGTTTGCTAAGTTGAGAGACGAATACGCAGAGAAACGGTGAAATGAAGCATGAATGGCATCTGGCGTCGTATGGGCTGGGAGTGAGGACACGAAGGAGACAGTGTAGACAGTGTCTGATAAGTAAATAACCACAGATCTTCAATACTGTCCTTAATTCCTAGTCTACGTTTTGACAGGTAATCTCACTTGCAACGACACCAGGGAGGCAAACATATTCCCTCAACATCTCGGAATAAGGGAAAAATAGACTCAAGTTAATTTTCCTAATTTATATCTCTTTGTCCCTATAGGAAGTCTATTTGTGAGAACACTGGATGAAGACAGGCTTGTGCCACCTGTGATACTGCCAAAGTCGAGGTAGCCCATCAGCACTAAGTATAACTCACCCATGAAATATAATCCCTTGGATGAGGTCTTCGAGAGTCCCTAAACCTGGTAACTGCCTAATATGTCCAAGCGTGGAGGAGGCAAAGGGAAAAACACATTTTCAAAACAAAAAAAGGAAAAACTGAAAAGAACTGCGGATGCTGTAAATCAGAAACAAAAATAGAAACTGCTGGAAAAGCTCAGCAGGTCTGGCAGCATCAGAGGGCAGATTTGGCTTTATCTTTGTCTGTCCAACTGTTCTTCTCTCGCATTGGGCTCTATCCCCACCTAACATTTACTCCTTACCCCCTCCCTTCTGCATAAAAACTGACATTTTCCTAGCTACCATCAGTTCTGAGAAAGGGCCATTCGACCCAAAATGTTAACTCTGATTTCTCTCCTCAGATGCTGCTGGACCTGCTGAGCATTTCTAGCAACTTCTATTTTTGTTTCAAAAACAAAAGGAGCAAGGCAAGAAAAGTACTAGGACAACAGGGTGCAGTGATATTTATATTAAAATGATTTTGCAGAATTATAGTCGTGACAAAATAGAGATGGTGGAGTTCATTAATAATCAAAGTGTTGATGTTTCAAAATAACACGTGGTCAGTTACAGTCCTTACTGAAAACTAAAACACTTACTGTTTCAGATGGCAGGCTGCCAAGAATGTCAATCAGTGCTCGGTACATTTCCTCACCGGATCCTTCAAAGAATTTGCCACATCCAGCAACAAATAGTGTGTCACCTGTGGGGAGACCAAAACCAACATATAACTACACCAGAGACACAAGTGGGGCTTGAAATTTAGAACATGCATAAGTAAAATTAAACATGTGAGGGGTTGAACAGAAAACAAAAACTGGGATTTTTTTTTTAAAACAGTGTGAATCCAGCACATTTAATGTTCTAAATAAACAGAATACAGCAGAAACCTCAGCCATTCCATTAGAACAGGGGTCAGAAAGCATTAAAAAAAAATCATAGCATTTATTCAATGGTCAGTGTATTTCATATCTTTCATTTGGCTTTATGTTTAATCGCTCCCTTGATTTGAGCTTCAATTTACTAAGTACTTTTGACAAATCGTTATTTCTAACTACCTCTGCATTTTCATTCGCATTGATGAACGATGACTTTAAGAACAGAAAGTGCAAATCACAATGTAAAGTCAACCAAGACTGAATCACTAATTGCAAGGCAGACTTCACTATCCACAAATATCTTTAATCTCCTAATGCACAAAGGGGTACTAAAGCAGCATTTTCCTCGTAATGACTGTGGAAGCACACAATTTGTACGCACACATTACCAACAATTTTCAGCATCAATAAAATAAACTACACAGTCATTATCAGATCGTTTTTGTGGGAGCTTGCTGTGTGGAAATGGGCTACCAAATTTCCTACAATGCAACAAATTTCAAAACGTACATAACTGCCTGTAAAGTACTTTGTCTCAGGTTGCCAATGATGCTATATAAATGCAAATCTCTGGTTGGCATGGACAATTTGGACTGAACGGTCCGTTTCTGCACTGTATGACTCCTTATGAGCTATTGTATGATGATGCTTGAACTGGCATAGCCTAAAAATTCAGCAGGGCAGCATAGCATACACAAAACAGTTACCAAACAGCATCCTGAACCTCCAATGTTGCAGACAGGTAGTATCACTCAACTTAAGTCACATTGGTAAAGGTCACAAAATCAATGCTATTGTCCATATTAAATGCAAAGAAGCCGCTTAACATCTGTTCAATGCCTGATAAGCCTGGTTTGTTCTAACTGGGCAGCTGTTGGTCACATTCTGGAAAACCAAGTCTAAATGTAACCCTTAACTAGAGGTTCATTAAGGAAGCATGACAGATGGCCAGTAGCAAGGCAAATTATCGAAAAAAACTCATCTGATTAAGAGCCGGGATATTGGGACTCTTTACCCCACCCAACTATTATTGCCCACTTAATCAATCATCGCTGTTCAAACCTTCACTTACTCCCACTCCCCCAAAATCACTATCACCCCCACTGCCATTACAGAGAGAGAGGGGATTGGTGGTGGTTTAATCTGAGGGTCACCATATTTCAGGCAAGGGGAAAGGTTCAGAAGGAGAGTAACCTCAGCAGGTACAGAAATCCAACCCATGCTGTTGACATCACTCTGTGACACAAAGGAACCATCCAGCCAACTAAGCTAACTGATCCCTTTTGTTGATAACTAGCTGCCAACTGCTCCTGGCAACTACCCCTTCCCCTCAGCTTCCCTGATTAGTTGCCCTTGACCCCAATCCTTGCCACTTCCCTTTACTTATCTGACTTAGCAGTGCTTATGGTCTTGAACTGCACAGTACCTGAGGCCTAAGATTCAATACAGAGGGTGCTTCGAAACTCATTATTGACTCTCTGCAGTGGCACCTCCACATTCCAGGCTCCAAAATGGGCTTGATCAAATTTTTAAGGCTTAATTTGAAAAGTTCGTAAACTTGGTAAATCAAGGCAAGCAACTTAAGATTTCTCTACAGGCTAATTTAAACAGAACCAACATGGTATGTATCAAACTGAAGGACATTTTAGGTCTAGTCTATAAAAAATATAAAAATTAAACTTTAAAAAGAAAGTCACTTGGGCTTATTACAGAAAGCTTGGTTAGTACTCAACATGTTACAATTCCCAAAAGTAATAAATGTGGATTACTTTTACATCCGATGAGTATTCAGTACAGAGAGTTATCTGTCTGTTGAATGATTATTTTGTTACACCATAAAGGGAGGTTTCAGCTACACTCACCAGTGAACACAGCTGGTGCTTCACTGCTATTCTCTTTTGTCACAAAGTAGCAGATATGTCCTGATGTATGACAGGGTGTAAAGAGGCATTTCACATTCAAAGAGCCAACCTGAATGGTTAAGCACATCATGTATTGTAGTTAGTTTAATTTTTAAAACATGGTTTCTCTCACTGTAAGAATCAGTGACCTAGTCTTTTCTTGAAGTTTCTAGTCCCTCTTTTTGTTTTCCAAACCATGTAATTTCATAAATTAAACAGCTTTATGTACAGCAAGCAAAACATATCGAACAATATAGAATTCATTCTTTGAGCATAGAAAGGTCTTACTATTATAGCTATACAGAGGATAAATTACAAAATCTGGCCTGCACAGGGCATAGGCAGCAGGTACATTTGGAGATGCGGTCACCCATCACTTGCCCTCAGTAAATGGAAAGTTTGAACAGCTCTTAGCAAGTTTACATTATTGACATAATATTGCTTTGAGGGGTGTGGAGGAAAGATAGAGGACAAGCAGACATACAAAACTGCATCCGTATCTCCCAGAAACAAGTTAATTATCAAGCAGTCCACACCACCATCTCCACAGCACTCCAGGCTGGGAGTGTACCCAATTGGTCCCCAGGGAAACAAAAGATGGCAAATCTGATAACATTTAAACAAGAATGCAATTATATGTCTTGACAAAATAGATAACACAACTTCAAAATAATTTGAGTCTTCTTCATAAACCGTCACTTATAAAATCATAAACTCTACTGAAATTCATTTACATCACAGTTGGGCTGGCAAACGGAAACCAGCAGGAAATTGTCTACAATGATTATGCCACAGCTGATCCATCTGGTTAAAGCTCAGATTCTTGTGATCTACCTGTAATGTTTTCTTGTGGCTCACTTTGCAAGTGAGAGCTCCAACCCGGTCATCACCACCGTATACCTGGAGACCGGGCACCTTCTTCACCAGTTCTGCGTTACCACCAGCATGGTCCCTGGAAACAAGATGGCAGGTCAAACTCACCAAAATCAAATGATACAGGAAAATAGTTAATGCGTATATGCACAGTTTTGGTGCTATGGGTATGGAGGGGCAAGGGTGGATAGATACCTGCTTGTGGGCAGATAGGACATGGGTACCTTCCTGATCACTGCTCTCAACTCTTCCCTATCTCTCAAACTGCAAACTCTCCCATTATCTACCTCCTCCATCAGCTACAGCAACTTCCTATCTCAGTTGCACTTAACACCAATCTACCCACTTAAGCTTTGGTTAGCTCCTTTCCTCACGATACAATTTTGCATTGGAGGAGATCTTGAATCGCACTTTGCCTCCAAAGTGCCTGTCTGCTTCCTATCCTCAGATCAATGTGAATAAGCCAATACGGAGAGTACCTCAACACTCATCATATGGGCACAGGACTAGACGTCTGCACCATGCACTCTGACCCTACATACCCAGAAACATTCTCCCACTAACTAATCAATGACATTAGACAGCTATAACAGTGGCATGTCACTTGGAAGATATAACAGTGAGATTGCACTTGTGTAGTAGCTCCACTTGACTCTGCATCTCTTACAGATATCTCCGCATTTCTTCATCATCATACTTTCACTCTGTATGTATAATAGTGTTCGGCATGTGACAATGCTGTCACTTTAAGAGGTCATTTTACCCAGGTTTTTTTTGAAGATAGGTTGTAAGGTAGAGTTGTCGAGCTGTCTCTAAGAAAGTAAACAATTTGTGAAGCCTTGGGTTTTTCTTTAAAACGCTGAAACAATGGAAGCAGCCTGGGTGTGGCCAGCTCTCACAGATCAAGCTTTCTAGTTCTTTTAAATGTGTAGGTTTAGTTTTAAGCAGAAGCCTTTGGGGTCTCAAAAGAGTTGGAAGCTTCAGTAAATGTCTCTTGGCTGCTACTTTTATGTATTTTTCTGTTGATGTTTTTTCCTTCTGGATTGGAGAATTGCACGTGAGGATCTGTATCTGAATTTGCCTTTTTGCCAGGAGGTGTGCTTATGGAATGTTACTATATTGGAACAGTTAGTTAGTTAGTAATTAGTACTGTATTATTTGGTTAAGTTTTCCAATAGTTAAGTTATTCTGAATTCCTCTTTCTTTTGTTTGTATTTTAACTATAGTGTTTAAATAAATTGGATTTTGCTTAAATTTGAGTTGTTTGACCAGTCACATTGCATCTGGAACACATTTAAAATAAGAAGTTAGGGTCTAGGTTACCTTCTTAAAATATGTAGAGTGGGTTTGGTCCATAACAGGCTTGTTAAAAATTATGTACCCTTGATCAGCTGTCCATTTCTCTCATCCTTACTCAGAGATAGTAAGAATTGCCAATGCTGGAGTCAGAGATACCACAGTGTGGAGCTGGAGGAACAGAGCAGGCCAGTCAGCATCAGAGGAGCAGAAAAATTGATGTTTCGGGTCGGGACCCTTCTTCAGAAAAATCCGAAACCCGAAACGTCAACTTTCTCGCTCCTCTGATGCTGACTGGCCTGCTGGGTTCCTCCAGCTCCACACTGTGTTATCTCTCATCCTTATTTGTGTCTTTTGTTGTTCTGCCTTATTGGCTTTTTCTCCTTTGCATTAGAAGTAATGGCATGGAGTGTTGGATTTGTCGAGGTCAGATACTGCGGCGAGGCGAGAGTGAGAATATCTGTGGAAGTTTTGGGCGAGGTACAGTGCTGTAACAAAGGAAACAGCAGGGATTGGGCAAAAAGAATTTCATTTCATTACCCCTCTGCACTGTCTGTCAATCTGCCTCTTGATTTGGAATCCGCGATCTCTCTCAGCTTTTATTCATAATTCCCTCAGTGACAATTACCTATTACTGCAATGTTTTTGCAATGGAACACTGCTTGGTTACATTTCATTTTATTGCTTTATTTTGTGATGCACTATAACTCAAGACTCTGCATCTTCCATGTTACCAACGTCTCTCTCTCTCTCTTTAATTCGCTCACTGTTCCTAGCAGCATATTGATACAGATTATATTAAAGATCATATTCATATCCTTACTACCATTGGTACTCCCTTCTTGCCTTTTGCTAAGGTCAAACTCAAGATTAGGCTAAACAGAATGCTGCAATTGTGCACAATCTTGAGTCAACAGCATACCTTTCACCAAGTCCTCTAACTTCTACCTCAGTGACTTTGTTGTCCACGTTCAAGGCTGCTGCAATCCTTAGTAATAGCTTTATCACTTCTAGACTGAACACTTCCAATAGCCTTCTTGTTGACATTCCACATTACCACATGGGTTTCCAACATTTGCATTAGATGACTTATCATCATCACCTCTCTGTAACCAACAGTTTCAAATGTTTGTTATTGATGGTCCTTCCTTGCCATAACACCTTTGCCAATCTTATCTCCCAAGCAATGCCATTTACTCTCACACTTTGATCGCTGTGGATCTCACCTCTTCTGACTGTTCCAACATTTGGTGATAAACCCTTTGGTTGTGTCAACCTTATACTCTGGAGTTTCCTCCCTCAAGTTGACAGACCACAAAACACCTCCTCAAACATTTCTTTTTGTTCACATTTTTGATTATTTTACTTTACTTTTCCATTGCATCTGCTCTCTGGGCTGCGTTGAGCTTTAACTATAGTAAGCAGATTTAATAAACTTAGATTGCTCTTCTCTCACTCTTACCTTCTTGTCAAGTCCAGATCTGAATATAGAAGTGACACTCACCTGTAGGAATACATTGAGCTAAGAAGCACAAATCAATCACCAAATTGAACCGAGTTTTATCGGGGTTTATGCTGGAATGGTAGGTTTTTTTTCTGTTTAGTATGTCATTTATTCCTTTTGTAAAGTTTACTTCAAACGAAAACACCAACACTTACCAGTGGTGATGGGTGGTAAGAACCGTAGTCAGCTTTACTCCATGTTTTTTTACTGCTTCAACCACCTAAAAGAAAAAACACAGATAGCCTGAAATTATTGGCAACTTTCAAATCACAGGTCTTCATAAAGAACTTCAGTAATTTGGTAACTGGATGTTATTTAAGTATAATTGGGATTTATAAAGGTAATTGCAAAGATAAATCCCTGTGATATAGAGTCATAGAGTCCTGCAGCATGGGAGACAGGCCCTTTGGCCCAAACTGGTCCATGCCAACCAAAATGTCCATCCACCCTAATCCCATTTTCCTGCACTTGGTCCATATCCTTCTAAACCTTTCCCATCCATGTATTCGTCCAAATGCCTTTTAAATGTTGTTAATGTACGCTCCTCAACCACTTCTGCTGGTAGTTCATTCTGTATGCGTACCATCCTTGGTGTATTAAAGTTGCCCTCAGGTTCCCATGTATTCTTTCCCCTCTTACCTTAAACTGATGCCCTCTAGTTCTCGATTCCCCAACCCTGGGAAAAAAGACTGAGTGCATTCACCCTATGTATGCCACTCACAATCTTACACACTTCTACAAGATCTCCCCTCAGTCTCCTATGCTCTAAATAAAAATGTCCTAACTTGTAAACCTCTCCCTGTAACCTAGTCCTCAAGTCTTGGCAACATCCTTGTAAATTTCTTCTGCGCTCTTTCCAGTTTAATAACATCCTTCCTATAGCAAGATGACGAAAACTGAGCACAATACTCCAAGTGCGGCCTCACCAATGTCCTGTACAAGTGCAACATAACTTCCCAACTTCAATACTCATTCCCTGACTAATGAAGGCCAGTGTGCCAAAAGCCTTCTTCACTGCCCTGTCTACCTGTGATTCCACTTTCAGAGAAACGTGCACCTGAACTCCAAGCTCCCTGTGTTCCACTACACTCCTTAAGGCCTTACCATTCACCATGAAACTCCTACCTTGATTGGACTTTCCAAAATGCAACACCTCGCACTTATCTATATTAAACTCCATTTGCCATTTCTCAGCCCACTTCCCCAGCTGATCAAGATTCTGCTACAATTTCTGATAACCTTCCTCACTATCCACAATACTGCCTATTTTAGTGTCATCCACAAACTTACTAATTATGCCTTGTACATTCTTATCCAAATCATTGATATAGATAACAAACAGCAATAGGCCCAGTACCGACCCAAGGCACACCGCTAGTCACAGGCCTCCAGCCCAATAAGCATCCTTCCACTATTGCTGTATGCTTCCCATCATCAAGCCAAGTGTTTTATCCAATTTGCCAGCTCTCTCAGGATTCCACGCAAAGTAACCTTCCAGAGCAGACTAACATGTGGAACCTTATCAGAGGCCTTACTGAAATCCATATAGACTACTAAATAAAAACCGAAAGACCTGCGGATATTGTAAATCAGGAACAAAAACAGAAGTTGCTGGAGAAGCTCAGCAGATCTGGCAGCATCTGTGAAGAAAAAAAAATCAGAGCTAATGTTTCCGGTCTGGTGACCATATAGACTATGTCTACTGCCCTACCCTCATCAACCTTCCAGGTCACTTCATCAAAGAACTCTAACACACTTGAGGCATGACCTCCCATGCACAAAGTCATGCTGACTACTCCTAATCAAACCCTGTCTTTTCAAATGCATATATATCTTATCCCTCAGAATCTTTTCAAGTAACTTACCTACCACATATGTTAAACTTACTGGTCTATAATTCCCAGGTTTTTCTCTGCAGCCCTTCTTGAATAAGGGCACAACATTCGCTGCCTTCCAATCTTACAGAACCTGTGGCTAATGATGATGCAAATATATCAGCCAGGGCCCCCGCAATTTCTTCTCTAGCTTCTTGCAGGGTCCTTGGGTATATCTTATCAGGACCAGGAGATTTATCCACCTTCATACATTCTAATACTTCCAACACCTCCTCTGCTGTCATATGGACAGTCCCCAAGATATCATCACTAACGTCCCCAAGTTTCCAAGTCTTCATGTCTTTCTCCATGGTAAACACATGGGAGAAATACTCATGGAGGGCGTCGCCCATCTCCTGTGGTTCTACACATACATGCCAACCCTGGTCCTTGAGGGTCCTATTCTCTTTCTAGTTATTCTTTTTCCTTTAATGTACTGAAATAATCTCTTTGGATTTACCCTAATCTTCTCAGCTAAAGCTATCTCATGTCACCTTTTTGCCATCCTGATTTCCTTCTTCAATAAACTCCCGTATCCCCCAAGTGCCTCCAGGGATTCCCTTGATTCCAGCTGCCTGTACCTGAACTATGCTTCCTTCTATTTTCTGGTCATAGCCTCAATATTTCATGTAATTAAGGGTTCCCTACTCCTGCCAACTTTGCTCTTCACCCTCACAGAAACATACAGACCTTGAACTCTAGCTATTAAAGTTTTAAAGGCCTCCCACTTGCCAGAGGTCCCTTTGTCTGCAAACAAACTACTCCAATTAACCACTGTCTAATTCCATCAAAATTTGCCTTGCCCCAATTTAGAACTTCAACCTGTGGACCAGTTTTGTCCCTCTCCATAACTATTTTAAAATTAATAGAACTATAGTCACTGGTCCCAAAGTGCTCCCCCATGGTCACCTCAGTCACCTGTCCTGCCCTATTCCGAAGAGTAGGTCGAGTTTTGCCTCTTCCCAAGTAGGACCCTCTTATACTGCTTGAGGAAACTTTCCCGAACACATTTAATAAATTCCACTCCATCTAAGTCCTTAACACCATGGCAGTCCCTGTCTATGTTAGGAAAATTAAAATCCCCTACTATGACAACCCTATTGCTGCTGCAAGCCTCCCCAATCTCCCCGCATATTTATTCCTCTAATTTCTGTTGACTATTTGGGGGCCTACAGTACAACCCCAATAATGTCACCATCCCCTTGTTATTTCTTAGCTCCACCCACAAAGCCTCACTGGACGATCCCTCAGTTAATTCATCTCTGACTACTGCTGTGATACACTCGTTAATCAAAAATGCAACTCCCCCTCCCCTCTTTCATCCACCTCTGTCCCGCCTATGATGTAGAAATTGAGTGTAACAGCGGTTTTCATCAGAATTTTCCACTGTCTTCATTCAGCTTGGGTTATCATTACATATACAACGTTCAATTATTTGGTCAGTGGGTTTTAAAAAGCTCTTGATTGCATGATATACACTCTGCACCATTTCCCCTGGGAATATGGTTCAGAAGGCTTGGCGATAGGTTAGCAAGCATCAAAGCTTAGGGCCCCATTAATGTTTAGGTACAATGTAGGAATTTCAGCTGTCAATGGTCAATACTGCATTAGATTTTTATTGTGGATTCAAAACTCTCAAACTTCCCAAGCACTTTACAGCTAATGCAAATCTTTTGAAGTGTTTTGTAAAGGGATTGACAACCAATTTGCACACCTGAAGCTCCCACACACAGCAGTACGATAAACAGCAACACTCAGCCCTGCCGAGTCTTCACCATCCCCCCAGACCTCCCCCTTACTGAGGACGAACGGTCAGTCCTCAGTAAAGGGCTCACCTTTGTCCCCCTCCACCCACACATCGACGAATACTGGTCACGTTTGGACATAGAGCAGTTTTTCCGCCGCCTCCGCCTCCGCGCTTACTTCTTCAACCGTGAACCTAACCCTCCCTCTACTGACCCCTTCTCCCGCCTCCAACACACCCCCTCCTCCTGGATACCACCCCAAGGCCTCCTACCCTCCCTCAACCTCTTCATCTCCAACTGCTGTCGAGACATCAATCGCCTCAACCTCTCCACCCCTCTCACCCACTCCAACCTCTCCCCCGCAGAACGTGCAGCCCTCTGCTCACATCCCAACCTCACCACAAAACCCGCGGACAAGGGAGACGCAGTTGTAGTATGGCGCACTGACCTCTACATCGCTGAGGCCAGGTGCCAACTCTCCGACACCTCCTCCTACCGCCCCCTGATCATGACCCCACCCCCAAGCACCAAACCATCATCTCCCAAACCATCCACAACCTCATCGCCTCAGGTGACCTCCCACCCACAGCCTCCAACCTCATCGTCCCCCAACCCCGCACCGCCTGCTTCTACCTCCTTCCCAAAATCCACAAACCTGACTGCCCTGGTCGACCCATTGTCTCCGCCTGCTCCTGCCCCACCGAACTTATCTCCAACTATCTGGACTCCGTTTTCTCCCCCTTGGTCCAGGAACTCCCTACCTAATGTCCGTGACACCACCCACGCCCTCCACCTCCTCCAGAACTTCCAATTCCCCGGTCCCCAACACCTCATCTTTACCATGGACATCCAGTCCCTATACACCTGCATTCCCCATACAGATGGCCTAATGGCCCTCCGTTTCTTCCTGTCCCGCAGGCCCAACCAGTCCCCCTCCACTGACACCCTCATCTGCTTAGCCGAACTCGTCCTCACCCTCAACAACTTCTCTTTCAATTCCGCCCACTTCCTACAGACAAAGGGGGCGGCCATGGGTACCCGCATGGGCCCAAGATACGCCTGCCTCTTTGTAGGTTACGTGGAACATTCCCTCTTCCGTACCTACACTGGCCCTAAACCCCACCTCTTCCTCCGTTACATTGATGACTGTATCAGCGCCGCCTCGTGCTCCCACGAGGAGCTCGAACAGTTCATCCACTTCACCAACACCTTCCACCCCAACCTTAAGTTCACCTGGACCATCTCTAATACCTCTCTCCCCTTCCTGGACCTCTCTGTCTCCATCTTGGGCAACCACCTAGAAACCGATATCCATTTCAAGCCCACCGACTCCCACAGCTACCTTGAATACACCTCCTCCCACCCACCTTCCTGCAAAAATGCCATCCCCTATTCCCAATTCCTTCGCCTCCGCCGCATCTGCTCCCAGGATGAGGCATTCCACTCCCGTACATCTCAGATGTCCTCGTTTTTCAAAGACCGCAACTTCCACCCCTCAGTGGTCCAGAACGCCCTCGACCGTGTCTCCCGCATTTCCCGCAACTCATCCCTCTCGTCCCCGCAATAACAACCAAAACAGAATCCCCCTTGTCCTCACGTACCACCCCACCAACCTCCGGATCCAACGCATCATCCTCCGACACTTCCGCCAGCTGCAATCCGACCCCACCACCAACGACATTTTTCCCTCCCCACCCTTATCTGCTTTCTGGAGGGACCACTCTCTCCGTGACTCCCTTGTCCGCTCCACACTCCTCTCCAGCCCCACCTCACCCAGCACTTTTCCCTGCAACCGCAGAAAGTGCTACACCTGCCCCCACACCTCCTCCCTCACCCCCATTCCCCCTCACCCCTCACCCCATCCCAGGCCCCAAGAAGACTTTCCACATCAAGCAGATGTTCACCTGCACATCTGCTAACGTGGTATACTGCATCCGCTGTTCCCGTTGTGGCCTCCTCTACATCGGGGAAACCAAATGGAGGCTTGGGGACGCTTTGCAGAACACCTAGGCTCGGTTTGCACTAAACAACTGCACCTCCCAGTCGCGAACCATTTCAACTCCCCCTCCCATTCCTCAGACGACATGTCCATCCTGGGCCTCCTGCAGTGCCACAACGATGCCACCCGAAGGTTGCAGGAACAGCAACTCATATTCCGCTTGGGAACCCTGCAGCCCAATGGTATCAATGTGGATTTCACAAGCTTCAAAATCTCCCCGCATCCCAAAACCAGCCCAGCTCGTCCCCACCTCCCTAACCTGTTCTTCCTCCCACCTAGCCCCTCCTCCCACC